GGGAGATGGTCAATTTTTCAGAGCATAAACGGTTTGGGCTGAATAGTTGATGCATAGGAAGCACAACACAGCGTAGTCACACGTCATCTAGTGCGGATGATTGACCGGCTGCCTTTAGTGCAATGCATTTTCAGAAAAAAATAATGAGGCCAGCGTCAATGCTGTAGGCTTAAAAAGCTTTATTTTATGGTCTACTAAATAAGCTTGACATAGGTAAATCCACGGGGCCCGATGAATTACATCCTAGGCTACTGAAGGAATTATCTAACTTCGTTGCGAACCCTTTAAGTATATGCTTTAACCTATCCGTAACGCAGGGTCGTTTACCCAAAGACAGGAAAAACGCCATAGTAAGTCCTGTCTTCAAAACAGGTACGAAACACAAACCTGAGAATTACCGCCCCGTTAGCCTAACTAGTGTGGTTGTTGAAATCTTAGAAAAGATTATTCGGAAGGAGCTGTTTAAGTATCTCGATGAAAACCGGATCCATTCGGAGAAGCAGCACGGTTTCAGAATAGGTTACTCTTGTCTCACTAACTTATTAGTGGCTCGTGAAAGATGGTGAGCTCTTTAAGACCAAAAGTTATGTGAAGACGTGGCCTTCATTGATTTCAGCAAAGCTTTTGACAAGGTTCCGCACAACCGGCTGTTATATAAGCTAAGGAATGTTAGAATTGGAGACAATCTATTAATGTAGATAAAAGACTTCCTAGTTGGGCGCCAACAAAGAGTACGGGTGAACTCAAAGTTATCTAGCCGGGGAACTGTGTTTAGCGGAGTGCACCAGGGTACAGTTTTGGGGCCAGTGCTATTCCTCTTGTATGTAAATGACCTTCCTCGTCTCCTATCATCATCGGTCTTGCTATATGCTGACGATGTCAAGATATGGAGAACGATACGATGTAAGGGTGATAGCTTTGAACTCCAAAATGACATGAAGAAATTATCTGAATGGTCTCAAACATGGCAGTTGCCGATAAATACTTCCAAGTGTGTTGTGATGCATATCATTCATCAAGGTACAGATACATACACGATGAATAACACTGAGCTACCTGTCATCCAGACATATAATGACTTAGGAGTCATCGTTAGTCAAGACTTAAAGACTACTGCACACTGCAGTGCAATAGCCGCCAAAGGTTTTAGAACCTTATGGTCAATACGTAGGGCTTTTAGTCATGTCGACGCTAAGACGTTTTTGACTTTGTATACAGTGTTCGTACGTCCTAAACTTGAGTACTGCATACAAGCGGCCAGTCCCTGCCTAAAAAAGACAGTGAGCTTCTGGAAAAGGTTCAGAGAACAACAACTAGGCTGATTCCCGGAGTAGCGAAGTTTCCGTATGAACCTCGACTGGCCAAGCTGAACCTTTTCCCGTTGTCATATCGCAGAACTAGAGGCGACTTGATTACAGTTTTCAAATTGCTTAGTGCCAAATTTGCACTTGATATGCCCTCATTTTTCTTGTCTTCCAAAACAGAGAATTTACGAGGACACTCCAAAATAGTTCACAAGCCCAGAACAAATTACTTGTCAGCTGACTATCGACTTTCCCATCGAATCATCAACGAGTGGAACTCATTACCTCAGCACGTGGTTGAGGCTCCATCCGTCGACTCTTTCAAAAGAAAGTTGGATCAACTGAGAGACCACCATTGCCAGGACTAACACAGGCCATCAGGCCTCCTGTCCTTCCCAAACTGAAACTGAAATACCTCCACAGGCGTGTCATGTGAGAGGACCCAAAATGTAACTGAAGAGTCATACTTAGGCAATAACTTAAATTTAATGATAAGATGGATACAAATTCTTTGCTTGGTCACCGTCAGGATAACTACAACTGCCCAAACAAAAATATCGTTCCAACGAACCGAATAAACAAATATCTCAAGCCAACGGTCGCTTCTGTCTTACCGTTACTAGTGTTAAAGTAGTCAATAACAATGGCCTATGCGAACTGAGATTATGGTTATAAGAAAATTTCCTACGGAATCAGTTTTCATCAGCCATCTCCAAAACGTTAACTGTCGTTGCCACAGAGATCCTTTATTTGGGCGCGCGAAGCAGTCATGGATGGATTTGACTCTGAAACTTATGTTATAACTGGTCCTTTGCGGAATTTTTCCATTAGGTATCAAATAGATTAATTTTCTAAATCAGGGTTAAATTGTTCTGTCGGCGGAGTAAGGCAGAGGAGCAGTATCTGGAAGAAGAGTATGTGTTTCATTGGCAGGAAAAGATTTTCAGTCCAGTAAGTGTGTTCAAGAGTAAAAATGTTTTTAGTAATGTGAATTGTTTTGTGAAAAAAAACTCTAAAAAAATTAAGAGAGATGTGTCCACACAAGAAGTGTCTGAGATACAGCTTGGTAAAATGTTTTACCAAGCTGTATGGAATATATTCCAAATATAAGTTTATGTAAACTTAAATTTATTGTTTAGTAGGTATATATGGCCTTAAGCTGAAGAATCATCTTATTTCATGAGGTTTTGGAAAGTAGGCACAGAAAAACAGATCTGATCCTCAAGCAACTTTGAAAGACCAAGAAGTTTTTCATCCATTTAGTTACGTGGTACCTAACAAGTGAATGCAATTTAGTTTTGGTTAGGGACATCGTCGAGTATCATTCGATTATGTGGCATTAAGAATTTTTGACTGGGGTGCACTTCAATGACTTTCAAATATATTGTGAATCATATGTTAGTGCATGCCCTTTTCCTGTTTTTGGTAATCTTGAAACTTATCGAGTAACGAGTCATGACTTATATCCAGAAAACTACTATACAAGCTTTTATAAGCGATAAGAAAGACCGTCATCAGACGTTTTCCGTGATAAATGTATTATTCTCAATAACGAGTAGGAATTACAACTTACGATTGACCATCAACACTATTCGTGTCTCCTTTGACTCAATCTTTATAATCTGTGGTTTCTAGAGCTCTTCAGAAAAGGTACCAGTAACGACTTCGGCAACTAAAGGGGCGCAATTAATTTGCAAATAAATGCCTATCCATCACAATGCAGTTTTTGTGTCTACGCTATAGGAAATCCAAACACATACTATTTGCCAATTTTGTCGAGAAGTAACCATTGGCAAAATTGTGTGGTACAAGCATGTGTTTATGGATGACTCAGTAGAGTTACTCGACAAATATATAGTCTTCACAGAGTTTGATGCTATCGACGCATCTGAACCCCTCAAAGTCCATCCCCAAATATCGGAGAACGTCTACATTAGCGTTGATAATGATGTACTGTCGGCATTTTACGTTGTATAGAAATTTGTCATAGCTTTCGCACGGTGCTCCGTCTTGGAATTTGCAAAACATATGAGAAATTCCCAAAGATATATTCTCTGCAATATTTCACATGTGTACTTATTGATTCATGTAAGGTAATGAAGTGACTTTTGAAAGTAACAGAGTTCAACTATCGACTCGAAAACCCTAATCATTAGAACGGAAGTACAAAGTTACTAATACGCGAATTCGATCATTTAAACTATGAATCCTCAAGTTTTTACGTACATCTTGTGATCAGGATAGTGTCTTTATAGGTTGAAATGTAGCTTTCACGAAACTTATTTGATTTCTTAGTTTCATTAGTTTTCAGCACTTTGACTTTTGAAATTGTACTTGTATATCTGGTGATGATTTAAGAACTCTGAATGTTTCAACCTGGAAACCGATAATGCAGCCCACAAGAGAATTATTGGATTGAGATTAGGTATTGCTTCACTTAGTACCTCAATTTATCAAACCAATAGAAATCTACGTGTAAATTTTAAAGAAATTAATTCGTAACGTCCGCATTTCACGACCCAGCAGTATCAGATGTCTACAAATAATCTGCCACACAGTGAGAAACCTATATAAAGATGATAACCAGATGTAGTTGGTGACCAAGTTTAGGATATTCCGAATGGCAAACTCACAACAAACACTTGAAGTGCATTGATTACTTCTTATTGGATGCTTGATGTTATTGTTAACTACGACAGTTCCTGTGTGTCACTATAAACTAAGTGTGTTCCCCATGACAAGGTACGTACTAAAATTAACAAAAAAACTAGAAAAAGAATATCTTTGTATATTGAGAGGCGAGAAACAGGTTCAACATCAGAATCGAGTGGATTATTCTGAACAATGGGTGCACTACTACATTCCAGTGATATGAAGCTAAAACATCAATGCAACATTACCTCGCTCTCCTTTTCAAATAAAGCTAGATTCAGATTTATGGCTATAGAACTAGATCTACCTTCAGATCAAAGGCTTGGGGTGTGGACCCCCAACGAAGCCACCTGCTTCAGTTTGGGCACCCGGGCAGTATCACAGCCCTCATATAAGTCAATGATAACTGCTAATGGCCCCATTATTATTGTGTGGCACATATGTATTTAGTGCCCCCTTGTATCAATGTTTGTGGGTCCAAATAAAATAATATATAGTAATAAAATATTTGAAGATCAATGTTTCTTAATGATTATGGTAGCACTATATTTCAGTGAAGACAGCAATTGAAGCATTAGCACCCATCTAAATTTAGAAAACATAATCTCCCAGATATTCCATTACAACGATTAATATATATAAGATGTATTTTTCCACCTTTTTGATGCTTTTACGAAATCTTCCTATCTAACTTCCAATTTTGTAGAAAGAAAAGGCTCTTTATAGGGACCGGAAAAATTGTACGACTGAAACGCAACTACTTTACAACAAGGAAATAAGCAATATGAAGTGAGTCCGAATTATTCTAAAAATATACGAAGAGGTCCAGGATTCCCAACAAAAAGATTATTTACTTATGTCCATAAGGACGAAATATCAGTAGAAAGAGACGTATGTGATATTTTTGTTATAGATCTTCTTAGATATTCGTGGATGGCATTGGAACTATCTCATATCCTGAGAAACGAAGATCTAACATCCAGTTAAAACTAGACAATCTATCGAAGTAAGTATTAATTAATCAGTGTCGAAACCTGAAGTCCTATGCCAACAAATGAAATGTTGTTGGAGTTTCCTCCTGACTATTATAGATACGTTAGTCATCTACCTACTAGAATAACCCAAGAGATGTATATAATGGCCGATTTAAGTAGTGATATTCCAAATGATGCTGCAGACTTATCGCCTCTTTATATGGGCAATGAAGAAATCCTCTGCAAGATAACTATTGATTCTAATGGACTTTTACGTTGCAAACCTGATTTTACTCGCGGGTCTGTTAAGTACAAAATAAAAAGCAAACAAAAAGGTTTAATCTGCTACTGGCAAATGTATACTCTTAGGGTCATATTATTTTACGTTGGAAAATATTTCACTTCAAATGTCTGATCTGGACAAACAGAAAATAAGAAACATGGATAAAGAGGTGGATTTAGAACGTAACTTTAACTCAATATGTAGATAACACTTCGAAAATATTCTCACTTTTGTGCCTCCATCGGCAAACAGTTTGAAATGGTATGTAGTCGATCAAAATTCTAACATATGCATAGCCAAATGAACAAAGTTACAGGCTTTTTATCGCTGGAGAGATAAGTAAGTTATCTTTTAATAGTTATTTTAGTGGGTGCGACTAACTTTGAAAACCCTGGATTGTATGTACAATATTATCTTGAATTACCACAAAGTGAATTCGTACTTAATAGAACCATATTATTTCAGACTGGAAAGCGTATGATCATAAGCTATTATGTGGAAGTTCCCAGATAGCCTCTATCAAAAATTATGGAAACGTAAGTCAACTCTGATATCTGTATACCATTGGATTAGATATAAAATATCTTGGTTTATTTTAATGATGGTATGCAGACTAAATCGTTACATTTCGATTATCCAATATGATTTGTACTGATTTTTAACTGTAGGCTCCTTCTACAGAATCATCATGGTATGCATATGTATCGAAGTTTCCAACTGAGATTTTTGAAAAGCATTGAAAGAGTTTGATATTTTGTAAAGGAAGAAATTCTACGAAAGTGAAATACAAACTTTGTTACCTTTCTGATTGAAATAAATCGACTGACTCTGACAACTTATTTCCTAACAATTTGTTACTTTTACATTCTGAAATTACCTCTTTTAGGAAGAAATAATTATGTTTTCGCATCCGATCGAATTTGACCTAACATATAAACCTGAAATAAGTATCGGTAAGTAAAACTAACATATGACAGGATATTGCCAAACTGTTGCACACTTCCAAAAAATTATATTTAATTGTATAAACCAATAATGTATTTGTTATATTTCCTCTGTTAATGTGCATGTTGACTTGGTTGTGTTCGCAATCTTACCGCTTTTACTTGGAAACGGGAACAACTGCAATTCCCACAGCGCGAATTAAAAACACAAAACACTGATGGAATTAAGATTCATTATTTCCCAAAAATATGTCTTCAAACAAGTCGTCATTGGACCAAAATACAGTAACTTACATACTAATTTTTACACTCAATAATACAACACATAGGAGAAACTTCGTCGAGTACTTGATACAGTTTACTTTAATGGATGCGGGAAATACAATCGTCCCACTGAACGAAGTTCACACCCGTCGCCCTGATCGAAATTTATAATGAACTGATGCAAGAAATATTGACCTAAATAATGTCATATTTTTATCTGAGCATGTCAGCACTGGTTTAGCGTAAATACATGTCAAAAATACTCGCTTTATTCAATATGGTACGAATGGATACTGTATGAAGATCTCAGAATGTGTAATTGAAACAACGACCTTAATACTATATCCTAGTGAAAAATATAAATATATAATGGGAGAGAATGAGATCCATGAATAAAAAGCATTTGCAAGAGAAATTAAGAGTCATTTACTTTCAACTTTAAATGGTGTGAGTTTATTCTATTCTTTGTCGATCGCACAAACCATCCACTAAACCAAGGATAATCAAATTATTGTCTGTGACTTTACGTGGACCTCATTTTCATCTATCTAGATCTTATTTTACAAAATGGTGAATAATAGGAAATCTTTTGAAAAAGCAGCCCCTTGAGATCCGATATAATAATAATAATGATATTTTTTAAATCAGGCGGAACTAAGGCTTAAAAAATGCAGAAGTAAATAATATGTCAAACCAACAGAATACATAAAGTGTTTGGAAGTGTAGTTTTTCACATAATTAATAAGAGAAATGTTTTAAATAACAGTTCACTGTGAAAACACCGGTAATGACTAAATGAAAACTTGAAACCAAGATGAGTGATGTACGTTTCTAAGCAACAGATCATGTAGGAGTAAATACCACCAACTTTATTTACAGAGATATATGTTTAAAACACTTTAATCCTCTTCTAGACTTAACGAAAGGACCAGTTTCAATATGGCCTACACTGTATTTTGAAGTCCAGTCGCTTGACTTTTGGACTCGGAGTCGAACTGAAGGGTATGGATTCACAGAACTTCCGCGCATTGCTGGTAAGATTAAATAAATTTGCTCGGTTTCATAGACTCTGACTAGGAAACACTTGGGAATACTAAAATGTCAAGTAATCTTGGATAAATACACGCAAAAACATCTCAGACATTTGTGACATGCAACTTGATTTATTCCATTTGACTGTCTATAGTAACTCACTTGACTCAAAAGTCATGTCACTGAAGCATGAAATGTACACAAAAAAAATAAAAGAATGATTAATACTTGTACATTGGTGCTTCTCTAGGACATTCCAATGTTTCTTACAAAGAAAAAACTCCATATTAGCTGACAGCATGACAGTTAACGATCCGTTAGAACTTAGCCCATTTTAGTTGGATTTCGCAGCCTAAAGCTACCTCTGACTACTTAACATTGTGACTTATTAAAAAGCGACATGTTTTGGTACATTGATTTAATAAACGTTATGATGTGGAGACAGAAATATTACGAATATATGAAGTTCGGCAGAGTATCGATTATCATTGAATTTTTCTTGAGTTGTGAGTTAATAACATCAAAAGCCGAATGGGACGCGTAAAATTATACTATTTACTTTTTGCAGGTGCTCACTCAATTATTGTGAGTTGTTGGCGCCCAGTAGGAGATTCTGTTGTAGAGGAACTAAGAAGATTTTTTATAGGTGGAACATGCCAACTAGAGGACCCCACATTTGCCAAAATACCTGGATCATTTGAAGTGAGTATGAAACGCAACACGATTACATACTTGATGGAAAATCCCAACATGAAATTAGTAAACGATGCTATGCTGAAACTTTTTCTTAGATGGATAATGCTCTTAAAACTGAGAAGTCATGTTTACATTTAATATTGCCTGTCAAATTATAGGTGAACTGATAATTTTTCGTTTACTCTGTTGGGTTTATCGATAATGATCATGAATGCAATCAACATATAATCCTTCCAATTAAATTGACTTTTGTAGATTTCAATAAATGAAGCATTCCCGTTCAAATGAAAGACGCTATTGCCTCGCTCACTGGGAATGATTTATTACAAAAAAAACAACTTATAAACGAATTCCGAATTTTTAAGAATCATCTCGTAACACACTATGCGGGAGAGCTGATGGACATACCGAGACTAGGGAATGATTATCGCTTCTACAGTCTATGTTGAGTAGTGTGAAAAGTTATGACAGACTAACCATTTGAATTATGGAAAGATGTTTAGACACAAATAAAAGCTAGTGCATTTGAGCCTGGTTTCAGCTGGATTATATGGTTCTTATACATCGGTTCTTACTCACAACACAAAGTCCTCCAAAAATACTGGATACCTTAACGAATCATCAATGAACATTAGAATAACCACATTTTGTTGTCTTGTGCAAATTGATCGAAAGCCACTTAGCAAGACGCAGTTCGTAAAACATTGAACAGGAGAATTTTATATACAAACTTTCTTTTATGCGACTACTGACAAAATTGTATTAGTAGCTGCACACTTCCCAGTATAAGTGCTTAATTTGTGTAGAAACCATAAACTTATATTCTACATTAGTTCTCACTTCTGCGGTCACAGAAATCTCAGCACGGATAGAGAAGGATCGACTAGCTTTTGCCAACTTGCGTCATTTATGGCGTAGACGAGATATCCGTCTACCAACCAAAGGACGAGTTTGCTGTGCAGCAGTTCGCTCCATCCTACTTTATGGCAGTAAAATATGGCCAGTAAGAGTAGAGGATATCCGTAGGTTACTAGTATTTGATCATAGGTGTCTTCGAAACATTGCTCGTATATCCTGGGACAATCGAGTAAGTAACACAATTGTTAGGAAACGGGTACTAGGTAAGGATGGCAAACCAATTGATGAAGTAGGGAAACTTCATCAGTTGAGATGGCTGGGACACGTGCTACGTATGCCCAACCACCGACTGCTTCGATGTGCGATGTTCAATGGTATAGGAGTAGGTTGGAAGAAAGCTAGGGGCGGCCAGACCAAAACATGGCACAAATCCATGAAGTCACTGACAAGTAGACTGAGCAACCGATGGTTAGAGACCCTGAATGACATGGCTCAAAATCGTTTGCGATGGCGCAGGTGCATCCACTCTTTGTGTTCTCCCAAATTCTAATCTCCTGATTCCTCGTTGTCTCTTCCCAAATCTATTTCACTGGATTATACTCTTTAAATAACATCTCCAAACCCTAATCTTCCCGATTACTGCTTATACACTTACCACCTCTAACACTACGGGATCTGAATCGATAACTGCATCTCTGTGCTAATGTGGTGTGGCAACTCGAACTGATGTACGTATGTACGGAGTTCTACGTTGTTACTGACTGACCCTGCGGTCACAGATCTCAATCACGAGGATGCGCCGAAGATTTTCTAAGACATAATCAAACTTATCAAATTCATTATCAATAAGTTTGTTTCAAACAACGTACAAAATTTAAAGTGAGCGTCGACAATGTTATTCTAAAATGATGGGAATCTGAAAAGACATTTTTACAATCTACAGTTGAGCGGTCACCATCCAGTTTCAATGTAAAGCAGTGTCTCATCTTAAGGTAGTTGTAGACTGGTTTGTATCGACAGTAAAATTTAATTCACTCAATACTCCACTCATGGACCGACACCGAATTATTAGTGTTGAAGTTGGTTTACAAAAATATTTCTTTTCACTTATCTGGTGGCCATTAAGATGGTGAGACCTCAGTCATTAAGTTGGATGGAATTTCTGAATTAACCGTTATAGGTACAAACATTAAATACATAAGTCCCTCCCACTTAGTACAATTTATAAAATGCTTTATTTATTACTAGATGTCCATGCTTGTTTGCTTAAAACGACTTTCCCTACATTTCCAGAGCAATAACTTAGCGAAATATGGATTTCGTACAAAAAGCGCGGGAAAACTATTTCTGAATCTAAATTGTGCAATCCAAAGCTGGTAAGTAGCCAAACAGTTCTAGAATTATTGAAAACTAATCTTCTGTGCACATTCCTATTACCTAACTGCAGTGATCTTTTTAAATCAATATCCATCAGCTGCTCTTTTTGTTTGCAAGCGGGACTACTCCATTTTCAATCTGCAGACATCCATCCGTTTTTTACAAGATAAATAGTAATCTATACATTTTTAAAATTTACTTTTGAAGAGCTTGTGACACTGACTATAGTAAGCAACAAGACCTTGATCCAAAGAATGAATGCACCTATTCCACTGCGAACGATTTTGAGCCATATCACTCCAAGTCTCTAACCATTAGTTACAATAATCACGCGAATCCCAGCTGGGGAGGTCTACACCTATTAACATAGCTCAGTCCAATTGTTGATGGCTTCATCAACTGGTGCCAAGTCTTAGTTTTGCTACCCAGAGCTTTCTTCTAGCCTACTACTATACCTTAAATGGCCCGTAGAGGTAGGGGGTGTTTAGGGATACGTAACTCATATCCTCATTATTTCGATCGATAAAGATTTAATACCTCGTCAGTCGGTTTGCCGCATTTACCTAGTATACGAGCAATAATCCTAGCAATTGGACTTCCAATTAGGAAATTCGCTACCTTATTGATACGATACTATAAATACACCATACACTTGTCAGTAAGCAAAAAAGTTTGTAGAATGAAGATATTTTCTATTCAGAAATTATACTAAATGGTAGGTAACAATAATAAATTTGTGCAGAATAAAAAGCAGTTTTGTCGTGAGAAGTGAAACTGAGTTTTTTTTACATGCAGGTCCAATCTATACAGGACCATGAGCAGATGTCCAACAACGGGTGATGAGAAGCAAAGAAGGTAGGTAGTCTCTATTTGAAGATTAATAAAGAATGTTTTTACAGGATAGCACTTGCACACATGGATGTTTCAACGATAATAAGTAGGTTATACTTTAATATACGTCCTTATTCAATATTCAGAAGCATACCAAAAAGCTCGTTCAAAATTACTGGAGACCAGGAAAGTTATAGAAGGTTTGGGGAAAGTCAATTTTTAATATTACTTGAAGAGACAATAATAATTATGCATTACCTCCACGACTTGGCTTTTGCAAAATCCTTATTTGTATAATGGATTCTAAGGGGGGGGGTGAAAACGACACTAGATATCGGATCTTTTTATTTTCGAAGACTCTCCTCGACAGTAAGGGCAATACCATTTACCCTTAGGTTGAACCCGGACATCTACACATGAGAAGTGAAACCATTCAACCTCACAGAACTTGTTGTCGCAAGCTATCATATCGCCAAATGATACTTTTTGGCATATACAATACAGACGCTCATCTGGGCTGACGCTTGCTTCACTCATACTATGACTAGGGCTGTTTTCCGATATTACTTTGTGTCGAAATGCATTCATATCATCAGCATGTGATCCATACTTAAATGAATTTCCTGGAGGAGACCGTGTGTTTACTTGAAGATCCATTTTGTGACGTACGGTGTTATTACTTCGACATCCTCGCCTAGCGTTGCCGTGGCTAAGACTCTGAGATGTTAAACAATTGCGATTAGATCCATGTTCTGGTGATGCAGGTGGGAAAGATGAATTGGGTCTGTGATACGATTGTGTTGACTGTACATTGTTACTAGCTCGTCGGAGTCTATACATCTTTTGACGACTTGGTTCACCACTTTGAGCGTTTGTTAGTTGATTAGTTAGTGTTCTGATGACTTGTGTTTCCTGCGAAGAACAGTTTTGATCACATCCCATGTCATATGTGGTATGACCATTGCTGTCACTACAATCTACATCAGCCACATTTTCATTTTCATTATAACTGCTATTCCAATCAGATGACCTATCTCCCAACCTTTTTGGGCTCTTTAAACTAAGTAGGGTATATACATCACTCTCTTCTGTTTTATCTTCAATATTTAAATTACTTATTGATTTACTAGATGAACCAAAACAATTGTCGTTTTTGTAAAAGCTAGGATGGCTTTGTTCATGTCGTCGCTTCACACTACCTACGAGATTTGTTTCCTCACAATTTCGAGAAGAGTCGGGATTAGTATATTTCGACACCGTATTTCTTCTCTTCCGAGAACCATGTCTCAGCATAGCGTACTCTAAGTACTGAGGTCTTGCACGGTTCGGGTGAAGTGATCTTGGCAATACACGATGACTTTTGAATCTCTGTTGTTGACTTCGAGAGTAACGAGTATATGTTACACCCACTTTATGTTGTTTGAGTTCCACTGAAGTCCTATTTGTTGACTTATTGTTAGCATCACCTTTGGACTTTAGAGAGTTGTTGGCATTTCTATTGCCCATTGAATTAGCAGGCTTGAAGCGATGAACGCCGGGAACCCATTTATTCAGTGATCGACGTGATGCAGTTCGACTATTAGTGCTAACAGCACGTAATGGGAAGCGTTCTTTACCTCGTATGCTTACATCACTACATCGTGTGTTTGGTATAGAGTAGCTAGTGCACTTATCGAAACTTGATTCCTGAGATAAGTTGCGCCGTAGTAAATTGCAATTGTATTGGGGATTAGACACTTCTAGATCACTGGTGTCGACTTCACTTTCAGGGACATTTTCCGTATTTGAACGAGTACGTTGAGGATCGATTGTATCAACTTTCATTTTAGCATTCATCAGCTTTAAAGAATGGGTTTCAATTACTTCATCTAACTGAATAAATTTTTCAAACAAAATTTTAAAAAGTGTAAAAGGATTGTGGTAAAATCAGACATGAAAATTTTTTGTGGAAAAAAAAAATCAAATTTCGTAATTTACATAGATTTAAAAAGTTATATACGGTAGCTCATGACAACTAGCATACAGTGACAAATCTAGTTGTCAACTCCTTGACATTTGGCAAGTCTAAGACACAATCTCATATTCTCAAGAAATAATTAAGCAAAGTGAGAAACAACAAATAGTTGAGTGAAAGTGGTAAACATATCATTGAACCAGTCATCGATAAGTTAAAATCCTTAATGTGCATCATAACTACATTTTACACCAGCACATCCAGCAATTTAGTGATGAGAGAGAGAGGTTATTATTATTTACTGCAGTGGAAACCTAAGTACAAGTTAAGGGATGAGTGAGGTCGAGGAACGAAGAGTACACAGTGACACAAAAAAACTTAACATTTCTACGAAGTGTGTTGTGAATAACATGCCCAGTGTTTGAGTTTTAAGTGAGCGGGAATACCCCATAAAAGTAATTATTTATCGGAACATTTCATTGCTAGGGGATTTTAAAAGAAAAATCTGTGATACTAATAAGTAGCATGAACGAGATAACTGCAGGGAACAAATGTTTTGCTAAAAATTATGTATGGTGTGAAATTATTACCTTTCTAAATCGTAGTAGAATACTTCAAGCTAGGTAATAATTGCACAGTGATCATGAGTCAGACTTTGTCAACGGGTACATCATTTTACTAAAAGGATTCCATTCTGTTGGGATATGTTGTCCTTTCATCAGTTCACTGGTGTTTGCTTAAAAACCGTTTCGTGAGAAGCCATTAGTCGAACACACCATATTATTGTACATCACTTATCTATGAGAACCTTGTTGATTATTTTAACCTATAACGTGTTAATCATCAAGGCAACATTCAAAACAGTATACTAAGTGCTATCACTTAGAAACACCAGGTTCATAGTTTTGACATATTTTACAAGCGTCGTCTTAACAACTCTCCATATTGTTCATTACTTACTGACATGTGTGTAAATAACAAAGGGGTTCAACTTATAACAGCTCTGAAAAATAGTAAAGTTATTTTCGATTAGCTTCTTAGCTTAAACTCTTGAAGATCATGTGATTTAATAGTTTGGGGGGATAATCAGACGTGAATTCAAAAATCAGTAATTATGTTGCTGTACTTTTTAATGTTACTCAAAAACAATAAGATGTACCTTCGTATTGAGCAGAATGTATATTGGTTGTGAACTGTATTCTTCAACACTTCCTAATCGCGTACTGAATCTAAATTTTGTCTTTTACTGTTTTTCCACAACTGTCCTTCTTCAAGTGATGAGTATCTTGGTGTCCCATTACATTGAACGTCCCCTAATAACAAATATAGCCCATTTTGGAGGCGGTTAGTATTGTGTTAATTCTGAGTTTGGGATGTTGTACATAGTTATGGTACTTGGTGTTTTTTCAACATTGGTTGATTACTTTGATAATGACTTTAATAACATCCAATTTGTGGGTGGATAGGGAGTAGCTAACGACTAGTTGGACGTTCCCAAAAAGCGTTCTACCTATGGCTTTAGTTTCTTATTTTCATTACAAACTATATCTAGAAAACCAATAAAACGGATTTGTTTACTCTCCTTTGATGTAAATATTTTCGCGTCAGATATAGTTACGTGAAATGGTCCTTGGGGGTAGGGATAGAATTTGGATGTTTGAATTAATGGTTTGGTTAAACGTTTTAACGACTGAGTCAGTTTGTTTCGACGATAGATAAACAACACGCTGTGCCAGGATTAATATTAAGTCTACACAACTGCCACTTTCAGAGCCAATCGTGATAAGCTTCCGAACTCGTCACATCATCTGTCTTCTTTACTAAAGATTTTATTACTACTACCACAACTGTTAGTACCACTTCAATAGTTATCTTGGTAATTACTTTTTTTGTATTGATGAAGTGAATTCAGATGATGCACATAAGACACGTTTAATGTTTCTCCTGGCTGACTGCTTTTCAGGTGCCACCTGAATCTGTTTCAAATAAATAGTTGACACTGACATTTGAAATAAGCAGTGTATTCACTTTGTGTTTATCAGGGTATGGCAACTTTGACCGATGCATATATGTGCCTGGTCCTACGTTGTGGCTGACTGACTGACTGAGGGTAGGTCAACTGACACTATCTGGAATTGACCACATATTCCAGAACCCCGAAACAACCTCTATTCCAAAGCGACAATATTAGACCTTTAACCTGAACTTGATAATTCCCAGAAAACTAGTGGTCGCAGGAAAGATGTAGCAGACGGTTATCATAACAACTTCTTTGTGTTAGATGTCTCTGTTAATTGCACTAGCTCCCACACACAATTACATATGATCGCTTATTCAGAAACTGAACAAGCAACCTGTCTTTCGACCATTCTAAGTTTTCAAAATACCATTCGGTCGAACACAGTAGTAACTATTGGGTGATATTAATTGCGGAGGTGTCTTATTTTTCTATCTAATGCGAAAGCCAGAATGCCAGTCAAACACCCGGAAGAGAAAAATTGTGAGACGGTGACTCAGTGGTTATGATGCTTGACTTCCGGACACTAGATAGCAGGTGTGAATCCAGATTTACTTAATAAAGCTCTGGAAAAACGAATAACATCACCAGGCCTCACACTTGGAGTGAAGGAGAGCCGAGTATGTGAATTCGTTCATAGTCGATGAGTCAATAATAGGAAAACCACCGAGAGTAGATATTAGACAAGTTCTATAGAGATTCCTAAGTAAACGTCAGACATTTGCAGCAAATTTTTGGACTTACTTCATCCAGATCATTGATTCGACGGTCGCATATGTTTTGGATCGCAACTAAAACATATATGAGTTGGTCCAAATGCTTCCTTTTGGTACTATGCTCCATGGACTTTTGCATTTCATCCACAGTGCGCCTAGCTAGCGCTATTAAGTGACGTTGCTGTAGATCTGACTGAAGGTATGCGGTTATTCGGGACTGTATTTCCAAAGGAAGGATCTGAAGTGAGTCAACGTAGCAACTAATAAGTGAGTCCATCCCATCTAGCTGCATAGTGATGACGGAAATGAATTAAAACTCCAACGTTTTTGTGAGAAATGCTTCATATGCAGTTAAAGTGGTATGAATGAAGGTAAACAGAATCAATTGCCTAAAGCCAATATGTATGATGCAATAAATCCCATGCTTACGACATGCATATTGATCGTCCCTTAGTCATTTTTATCTGCGGCAAACACAGTGTAAGACAAATCAGATCAGTTCATACAGTATATGGAGATATTGTGAAGTGATGTCCAAACCCTCTGACAGAATACCCAGTACCATTTGAATGCAAGTGCCCGATATAAACCTTTGACGGGCAACCTTGAGAAGGCAAATGTCCTCGAGAAACTAAAACACACCAGATTCAGAATTATATAGTAAGGACTGAAGGCCTATGGCTTATGTTGTTCCTTTTCTAGTATGCTTCTGTGAGTGCCTTGCTTCCTCTTGAATCAGTCAACTAAATGTATTTTATCCGATCTAGGCTTTTCTACTCACCTGCTATGTCCTCTGAGATGTCTAGATCTAGTGGGAAGAAAAAGAGAAAATATGTTAGGTCCAAAATCATTCTTTAGTATAATTAACATCAAAATCAAATCGCCTCTTATTCTGCAGTAGGACAGGGTAAGGAGGTCCAGCTTTTCAAGCCGCTCTTTGTATGGTAAACCCCGGAGTTCTGGAATTGCACGGGTAGCTGCCCTCTGTACGTTTACCAGGATATCCGAGTCATCTTTTAAACAGAGGCTTGCAGCCTAAGCGCAGTTCTCAAGCTCAGTTCTCACTAAGATTGTGTATACTGTAGTGAACATGGCAGTATCAAACTTAGTGGATGTCTGTCTTAAATCCAATAGGTTTCTAAACCCCTTAGCTTTAATTTCCCGGCAATGGGCCGTGGTCTTAAGATCATGACTGACTGCCACCCTAGGATCCTCGTGAGACCAGACCACGGGTACAGTCACTTCCCTTATGCTGCACATTTTCTGCGTGGTAACTAATTGTACCGGGAGTCTTTGATTAATTCAGAAAGAGCTTATTTGTCTCAAGATATTTGTTTATTTGTGACTACAATCTTGTTAGGTGTACCTAGAGGATAAAGGAAATAATCTCGATCGACGATCTCGTTAAAAATATACTTAAAAAGATCTATCGTTCATCTACATGTGTGGATACGTGTTTACTCTGCTGGGGTGTTTTTCAGTGCGAAGAACATCGAGTTCTGGCTTAAGGATTTTTTTCAAAACAGAACATTTGACTGATAATGCATTTGTGGATGAAATGAACTATCAGAGATGATCGCCTTGTCGAAGTCGACATATGAATAGAAGCTTTATTAGCGAGAATGTATTTTAGATTAAATGACTGTCAGTTCGGGCTGTCAGCAAGGAATATAAATTTTCATCAAATTTTAAAAATCAGTATTCAGTTTCCAGTTGTAGTGTAGTGTCGAGCTGCGGTTGACTATGATCACCACTACAGGAGAACTACGGGCCAGTTTACCGATAATATCCTCCGTAGGTCAGATATCAGTTGATGGCTGTAGTCGAGATGTATTCGTTGGCGATCTCGTGGTATCGAAAGAATACCGAGATCGTGCCAGGTTACAAATGTGGTTGCTGACGTCACAATCAACGGAAGAATGTATGTATTCTTGTATAGTTAAACAAACATGTACGGAAAAGCAATCCCTCGTAAAATTGGTTATAATAATAATTGTTTCCACTACAGTAATCTCATTCTCTTGATTAAAGTAGGTCACTTCACAGTTATGACCAAAGGCGAAGAGATTAGAAACTTTGAAGCCACATAAATGTAGTACGTGTAAGAATTTACTTAGGGGGCTCCTCTGGTAGTTCAAAGAAATGAAAATTTCTGGAGAAGCTGAAATACCCAATTGTCTATTAAGTAGACCTATCAGAGAAGAGTCGCGAATACCCTTCTTGTTGCATCACAAAACATCCAGATGACAGTCACTTCCCCTATGTTGTACCTATTTACCTTTGTATCCCCAAAGTGCATGTAGACACACTTTGCCGCGTTAATAGTTATTAACCACTCTTTAGACCAGTTAATCACAATATTTAAGTCTACCTGAAGTGCACATCTATTTGAGTTTCCTTTTATTTCTTCCAGATTTTTACATCGTCAGCGTATAGTAACACGCTTGGGAGATCATTTACGCACAATATAAAAAGTGAGGGACCTAGGACAGAACCTTTAGGTATTCCACATATTATTGGTTTCCAGGTGGAGCACTCTTAATTTACTCGTACTTTCTGTATACGACCTACTAGGATAGTTTTAAACCATTTATGGGAAGGTCCAGCAACGCCAAGATTTTTTAGCTCCAATAATACTCTATTTATTGTCACCTTGTCAAATGCTTTGCTTAAGTCTATGTAAATAACATTCACTAATTTTCCATCCTCTAGAGCCTTTATCCATTGCTCCCTTGCTTAAAGAAGGTTTGTTGTGCAAGATAAAGCTTTCGTGAAACCATATTGTTCTCCCTTTAGGGGATTGTTATGTTTCACAAATGTTACTATGGTCTTTTTGACTATTCTTTCCAGTAATCTAACTACGACACTGGTGAGGCTGACAGGTCTGTAGTTCGATGGAAGTTGCTTTGATCCTGTTTTATGTATAGGAATGGCGATTGCATCCATCCACTCAATAGGTAGCACACCTTGGTCACATGACATATTGAATATCGCAGTTAGTGGGGCTGAAATATATTGCGCAGTCCGCCTCAGGATTTGAGGGATTTAGTTCATCCGGTGCTGTTGACTTTCCCGTATGTAAGGTGTTAAGAGCCTCAAGTACATCGTCTTGTTCGAAGTCCACGGTGAGCAGCCGGCATGTCGACTTTGTATTTGGGTCTAGTCCTTCCTCTAGAAGAGGATCCAGGGTGAAACTGCTCCAAAAGAGTTTGCCATTGCCTCTGCTTTTTCGTGACCATCCTCTATCATTTCAGATTCACTCCCTTCATTAATTAAGTTGGGAATCCAATGATGCATCCTTGTTCCGTAATTTATATACGAGAATAGTCTCTCGGGCTGACTGAGTGCATATTGTGCCAACTGCACTTCATATTTTTCCTGAGCTTCCCGGGTTTAATTCTACATTTATTTCTTACCGCCCTGTAACGTTCCACAGTGCTTACTGCGCCAAGGCTGATGGCAACGTTCCAACATTTCTTATTTTTTCTTAGCAAACATCGAATATCTCGGCCTATCCAGGAATGACCGTGCTTCTTCTTTTTCTTTGGGACTATCTAGGATATGTATGGGTGGGTCACCTGATTATATAACTGTCTGAAATGAGTCAATTTCTCTTCTACTGATGTCTCTGAGTCGATTATCCAGTTTTCAGCCGATGCTGCAGAGTTAATTGCCTCCATATCTGCCTTCCATATGTTAGGACGGGCCGGCGCAACCGTTTAACAGGCAATGTCAGCTATGAACTTGAATAAGATGACTGCATGATCGCTTCTCCCTTGAAGTGGTAGGAAATTCATCCGGCGGACGTCATCACCGTGTGTGAAGATTAAGTCCAAGAGAGACGATGAGCTTCTTAAGTCATATCTGGTGGGATCTCTAATGTACTGTAATAAAACTAGTGCAATGAAGCTTTTGAACAGTTTGCAATCAAATGACGTTGTCGATGACCCTATTTCTAGGTCTACTCAATTTGTATTCGGTGCAATAAAGTCGTTTATTATAAGGCTTTTACCCCTATTACACCAGGACTTGAGTTTGATTAGGAGGGAGTCATCTACTACACATTCTGGACTGCGGCACTGTGCTCTCTTACCATGTGTAATGGACCTTTATCATAATTAAATTGGGTTAGTGTGGAATCCAGACATATGATTCACAGGCCCAGTGATAAAAATACAGACTGGATGCATATTACATGTTATCATTTGTCGTACATGACATTTTTCTGTTGGTTCGATGATTATAATAGGCATTTCGAAGGATTACTTGTTAGCATAGTTTCCAGTATCGCTCTCAAACTTTTCACTATATCAGACATTTTTTGTCTCAAATGTTTGGCTGCGCAATCCGGCATATTTTTGGTTAACTTGTACAACATTAGAGTACTTAGTGGTGGGCTGAAAATGTTCCCTGTTTTGGCTGGCAGGTAGGTTTTATTTTTAAAGCTGCTCAACAGATTTTAAAGATATGCACTGCCTGGCTTATTCTGTGATGCATGCATGTTGAGTAGGATTAGAGATGCAATATGTAATAGTTTTTACATTGCCTTTATAAGTAACACCTTTATAATCGAAGTATCCCAACCCAGTCATATCAGAAGTCAGAAATGAGTGGGTTTGGAGATATATGTGGTAAGTATTTACTCTAAGCCAGCCAACAGTTTCAAGGGATGTGTAGTACGACGTACCCACTCGTGATCTGGTGCATATGCACGAACGAGCGCTTTCAGATAGGTATGTCCAGTAAAATTAGTGAGGTCAGCATCACTTTTGAGTAGCTACGGTAATTTTATTTAAAAGATTTATTTACCACTACGCACAATCGTTGGCAACATTGCAAAATACACTTAGTTAATCCGCAGCTCAGATTAACAAGTAAGTCATAGAAGTAAATAGGCGAATTCTGAAAGTGTTGCGGCTTTGAGGGGTTATTTGAGTTATTGTTATATTACATCTCTTATGAAAAATCTTTCCAACTCGTTTTTAAGTTTTGCATGAATAGTTCAAACTCATTCCAACTTCAATTTTGGAAGCCCTTTCAACTATCGAACTATGTAGTCATGTTGACGAAAGAACGATACTTAATTTGTACTTAATACGAAAAGCTTCGGTGACGTAATAAAAATGTTTGTACTGGGTTGCACATCTCGTGTCTTCGTCTCTATTTCAGTCTCTCAACATACTGCACACAGAATGACATGATGTAATAATTCAAAAGATGCAAGCACAAACAGGAAGCCATCCAGAAATCAATTTTAGGTAACTCTATACGAAGAAATCTCAATGGTGCTAATGTCATTTCACCTAAATGCATAACGAATATTGCCTGGATTTTAGTAGTCATGATATAAGTCGTCCGTGCAACGTGAAGAACCACTGAACAGTTTACTGAATAGCATCAAGGCCAAGCATGTCAAATACATATTGGGAAGTGACCCACCATAGAAAGGTAATTTAGCAATGGTCTCACGCTGTGATTATTTAATATGCTTTTACCGATGCATTTCAACGATACGGCAGGGTTTTGTTTCATCATCATATTCACCTAAGAAACCAGTACATTTAATCATCAAAAATGCATAAGCTCGGTTAGGTATCAACCTTGTGGTGTGGCTTTACGTAAGCCAGGAGGTCAGACAATTCACATCCAACTCTAGAAAACTGACCATCCAAACAGATCACGTGCATTAGTTACTCACAGGAGTAAAATAATGCTGCCACATTAATCTCCTATAGTTATGATCCTGAAATGATAGAGTTTCTCAACCACACGATCCTAGAAGCCGAGCATAGAATGAGAAAATTTACAATCAACACTTAGCATAGAGACACCAGAAGTAGTAAATGAGCAAACAGGATTCGAAATGAATGGTCTGACCATTTAGGCGTGGTCACTCTGTGTAAATCATTCCTTCCCACATTGAATATATTATTCTACCCCCAGCTCAAGTGTGTCTTTCAGAAGTGTTAAACATTATATCGCCGACTGTCACGATAGGACGAGTCAGCATACATAATGATGAGACTTCCACATAAGCTATTATAGGTTAAGTAGTCGTATCATGTCCAAAATTGTGGAATAGGTCTATTATTAAAGCAGCATAGAAAATTGCACTTATAACGGCCTTTACCATAATTGAACAATCGTAGTACTATGGATGAAGTAAAGAATCGTAGACCATGTTTCGTGTAGTTACCTGTCCGTAACATATGATGTACCCTTATTGATCAGGTAAACTTTACATTGGTTTTCACGAGAACAAGACAATATGAAAAATTTAACATTACAACTCAAACAGTCTGACTCAATCCACACAGGCACTTGACACCCTTGCGGGCCAACTCTGACCATGGACTTTCTAGGGTCATTGTGGCACCAAGCCTGGATAAAGAAGAAGAGTTGATCACAGAGTCAGCAACCCTGTACCGTGGGTAAGATTTCCATATCGAAAAGTCATTTGAACCATTTAAACTGCACCCTGGGTGTTGAAGGATCTTCATTTGAAAGAATTCTGAAGTCTCGCAGTGAAAACCTAGACTCTTCGAAAACCCTGAAGTCAATGTCTTTTCTAACGACCAAGGGGACAATTAACACGGGTACGTGGAGTGTCTGGATAACAGAGAAGATCGGCGGGGCCAGTTAAACGGCTAAGAAAGTGGTGAAATGCAATCTGACAGTGCTCCGGCTAAATGAAGCTCATTGAGCTGAAGCTGAACAGAGATGATTAGCTTTTGGAGGGATGGCGTTACGCTCTGGTGTCGAGGGAGAAAATTCTCCTCATACGCGAGGAGTTGCACTGATGCCGTCCAAAGAAGCACGAGGAGCACTGATAAAGTGCGAATCCGACGGATCCAGAATCACCGGAGCATTCTTCAAAACGAATAAAGATGTGTGGTAGTAAAAGCGAAATATGGTTTGTCTCTGAGCTTAGACAAATAGATGCAACCTAATGAACATGAGATATGTTATTTCCTTTCCTTTCACTGACTTCTACTCCGGACTCACTGAGAGTGGCTGCTTGTAATTGTGTCGAACGGAGTATCACTTAGCATCACTCCAGCTCCTTATTCTGTGGCATGAATCCTAGTTGTAATATCATTGACAGGTCTCATAATTGTAATAACATAATAGCTTATCGTACCTTAAAAGTAAGGAAAATATTCGAAACAATCCGTTATATCAGGACCACAACGAACGATATCTAGTTTTGTGAGTTTTTCGTGCCTTAAAGTAACCCTCGTGCTATTGATAGAAGAAACCAGAGAAGTAGTGAATAGGTCTTTATTTCGATCTCAGCGCGGTAACAGTGGAGCGTGGGACTATCTGTTCAGACAAACAAAGGCTCTCAACATTCAATATAAGATAATAGGGAATATAACGCTTATACAAAACAAGGAAGTGAATGAATACTTGAACAATACTGTTTTGGCATATGCTTGGTTGTTTGGGGTCAACTCTTAACCAACCAACCTAGGCTGTTACATTAGCTTACCCCTAGAATCGACGTCCGTAGGAACGTCGGTTCGATTAACCTAACTATCGAAAACACCTTAGTTCTATTTCTCATCCCAAGGGAAAATTATCAACTCGCTCACTGTTTGACTTACAATCAGTGACGACTGACGCTGTCAACGATAGTCCATGGATGTCTCTTCTTTACTAGCTTGTCATCTTATTTTGTAGCATGTGATTTCTTCTACAACTATCGCCAACGGCTTGCTGCGTGCTTTCAAGAGAAAGTGTGAGAATGTGGAATAAGAATATCTGAGGAAGTGCCGCGAGCGGGCTACCCAACACCATGTTAGTGAGGTACGATTTTTCCGTGCTCAGACCGGCTATCAGGTGTTTACTCACCTGCCTCTTGAGTCGCCCTCAAGTAAAAAGTAAAGAAGAATCTACTTCAAAGGTAATGGTGAAAATCAAGCAAACCTGAGGAACTGCTCCACTGCCTGCATGAAATAATAAGATACAAGATGGAAATACATAAATGTAATTGAAAATTGTTCGGTTCCACGTAAGTGCTTGGTCTCCAGAACGGATTGGTATTCTGGAAGAGAATAGACATAGTGTAGATATCTTGTGCACGAAAAACCATGAAAACAAAAAAATACTCTTTTGTAATGCAAATATGTAAAAAGGGTGAACTTGCTAGAAGTTGGACTCTAACAAAATCGATCAAACGTGTGACCTTGAGCCTGTAATGACCGCGTTTTACAACTGGGTGCGTAACCAAGGGTGCATCAGAATACTCCACAAAACGGAAAAGAATATACGGTTAAGAAGCAAAAAAAATCATGTAGAGTATGCGAGTCAAGTACAGTTGTGTCAAATACCCTTTTCTTGTTTGATTTAGGTATGCATGATATATTGAAGCAATATATCGTCAATTCATCCAAGTAACGAATTGGTTTGCACCTCAGAAGTGTGTAAGTCCTATTACTCACTAGTATTATGAGTGACTAATTGGTGTAAGGAAATATTGAAGTCACTTCCTCCGTGGTCTGATGTGGCTTAACGGCTAAGCACGCGGTCTAGCATTCATCCTAGCATTCAGGAGGGCAGAGGTTCGAGTGCGTGTGGGGCCTGTGTTTTTGTTCACCAGACCCACCTTCAATACGATGTTTGTTGCCCGTAAGTCGCGCACATATGAGAGAAAAAATGACAAGAGGACAGATTGATATATCAAAGTGCCATATTGGAAAAGTAAAAGTTCTTTGTTTACATGAATATTATTACCATAGAAAAAAACTACAAGTTTAGTAAATTTCCATTTTACGTTATATTTAAACTAACGAACATATATATATATATATATATATATATATATATATCAGTTATTGACATAAAATGTCTTTTTTATAACGCTAATGTTAAGTTCCAGGACTTTGTATGGGCCACTAATAATAATTGGTTTAACGTTAGCATAGTCGTGATATTCATATTGTCAGTTCAATGTTATGATTACTAAACAGTTCCCTTATAAGTTGTGTTTAAAATTAGGTATGTGGAATCAGTGCGGCTGACATAGTAACCTTACAGTAACGCACTGTACTATATCTTCACGGTTATTGATTCTTAAATGTCAGAAATTAAAAAAAATCTGAATATTGCCAATAAAGATGGGTTATATGATCACACTAAAAAGCATGCTGCAGGGAAACTGGTTAAGTCATTACGTAAGTTTCCTAAACATGAAAAAAAATGATGAGAACTTTAATAAGTACTTGACCATGGTTTAATCCGAAGTGTTTTGTCTAGAAAACTACTTATTAATAGTAGTATTAATCGTATCAAGCTACTAAACATATCCTCAACCGAAAACTTTTAGAAGTAGTTCATATGGTATATATGTATAGCCAGTCTACGTGAAAAATGTATATAAATATATAAGAAGTACAGCCAACATAGTTAATTAACCAGAAAAAGAAATTATAAAACTCGCCTGGGTTGCTTTTTGAATTCGTTGTATTTGCCAGTGTTAGTTGTATGAGTTTGATTAAAATCCTCAGCCATCGTTTCGGAATACCTAGCTTATGTGTCCAGTATTTTAAAAAAATGTTTAACATAACACGTATATATCAAAGGTAAAAGGTCTGGGGAGTTGTCGGTGAGGCGGAATGAGGAAAAAAATTATTTTTAAGTAGATGCAGGGTGTGATTAGCTACGTGGTTAGATTTTATCCTGCAGCCGAAACTGTCAACATCCTTGACTGACTAATTGGATGTGCCCAGCGAACCGTTTTAGTCATTTGTAAAGATTTATTATCTTTACATTTCGATTCCGTAATGGATTTGTCAGTTAAACGATCTAACAACACGTATGGTGGTTCATGATCTAGATAAGCCGGCTTTAGCCTATCAATACTTACTGTGTCGGTGTTTCCATGCTTTTCTATCACGAAATGTTTAGATTTTCTTGAGACGACTTTGAAAGGACCTTCAAATGGAGGACTGAGTGGTGCTTTTATTTTGTCACATCTTATCCAGACGTGCGTGCAATTGCTTAGGTCTTTAGGTATATACGGGGCGCGATTGTTCACGAGTATTAATCGGCTTAAGTTTAGACATGTGGTTCCGTAGTTGATCCTCATAATTTTCTAAATCAAGTTTTTGACTGTTAGTATTAGGGTTAATAAATTCACCTGGTAGTCTCAGAGTTGTTCCGAAAACCAGTTCCGTAGCTGAACACTGTGCGTCAGTTTTGACAGATGTTCGTATTCCCAACATAACTAACGGTAGGAATTCTGTCCACTGATTGGGGTTCGAGTGAGATATAAGGGCGGTTTTTAGCTGACGGTGAAAACGTTCTACCATCCCATTAGCCTGAGGATGATATGCAGTGCAGCGTATCCTATTGGAGCCTAGAAGTTTAGCCAAGTTATTAAATAGTTCGGATTCGAATTGCGCTCCTCTATCCGTCGTTATTGTTACCCAGTTCTGCATGAAGACTTTGGCTACTGTTTCCGCTGTGATGTCCGTTATCGGGATGGCTATAGGGAATCTGGTAAATCGATCTATGCATGTAAAAAGATAATTAAAACCGTTTGAACGTGGTAAAGGACCTACCAAGTCGATATGCACATGGGCAAAACGTGCATCTGGTTGCGAGAAAACACCTATGGGTGAATTTGTGTGACGATTAATCTTTGATTGTTGACATGCTGAACACTCTCTAACCCATTTGTGTACATCCTTCTGTAAATTCGGCCATATATATCTGGCATTGATTAGTTTTGTTGAAGCTTTCGCGCCAGGATGAGACAAAGAATGAAAGTTATTATACATCAACTTTCGCATATTTTTGGGAACGAAAGGTCGCGGAATTGGTTTGGTCGTGTCACAGTAGATTAGAATGCCATCGACAGGTGATGGGAACTGTTTTAAATTAAGACTTGAATTGTTTGTTTTAAGCAGGTTTTGTAATTCTAGATCCTGCTCTTGTTCGTTTCTCAACGTCTCGAAGTTTACTGTGGACTGTTGTAGCACGTTCATTTCTAGCCTAGATAAAGCATCTGCCGCCTGATTGTCCTGACCTTTGACATGTCGGATATCGCTTGTGAACTGTGATATATAGTCAAGGTGTCGGACTTCTCGAGGTGAGTATTTATCAGCTCTCGCTTTTAGTGCATTCGTTAGTGGCTTGTGATTTGTAAAGACTATAAATTCCCTGCCTTCTAACATGTGTCGGAAGTGTTTAATGGTTAGGTAGATTGCAAGAAGTTCTCGCCCGAAGGTAGAATACCTTGTTTCGGCTGGAGCGAGTCTTTTCGAGAAGAAAGCAATTGGTTTCCAGGCGTTTTTAACCAGTTGGTTAAGGGTACCGCCTACTGCTTTATCTGAAGCATCCACCATCAAAGCAAGTGGGGAAAGAGAATTCGGATATATCAACGTAGTTGCTTGAGCCAGTTTATCTTTAAGCTGTTTAATAGCTTCGATGGCGTCAGAAGACAGTTTGAATTCTTTTGGTTTTTCTTCAAGTGAATCTGTCAAAGGTTGCATTAATTGTGCACAACCTGGTATGAATCTGCGATAAAAGTTAATTAGGCCTAGAAAACTTCTCAGTTGTGTTAGAGAACTAGGTACGGGGTATTGTTTGATGGTATCCACTTCTTTTTTGATAGGTTTAAACCCTTCTGGGCTTATTGTGTGACCGAGAAATTCTAAAGTTTGAACACCGAAAACACACTTACTTTGATGTATGTTTATTCCATGTTCATCCAGTCTTTTCAACACTGCTTGTACATGCTGTTCGTGTGATTGCAAATCGGGGCTGGCAATTAACAAGTCGTCTATATGCCCCTGCGCAAATGGCATATCTCGAAGTAGGTTATCTATGAATCTTTGAAATGTCTGTGCCGCATTTCTCAGGCCGAATGGCATGCGTACAAACTCGAATAAGCCAAAGGGTGTAGTAATAGCTGTCTTGGGAATATCTTCATCAGCCACCGGGATATTGTGATATGCCCCGACTAAATCAACTTTAGTGAATATGTTCATACCCTGTAAACCGTTGGTGAAATCTTGGATATGAGGTATTGGGTACCTATCTGGTACGGTTTGACGGTTTAGGGCTCTGTAATCCCCGCACGGTCGCCAGTCACCTTCATTCTTCTTTGGGACCATATGCAAAGGGGATGCCCATTGACTATCAGAGGGACGGATAATACCCAATTGTAGCATATAATCAAACTCGGCCCTAGCGATTTTGAGCTTATCTGGTGCTAGTCTCCTGGGTTTTGCAAACACCGGTGCACCTTCGGTTTTGATAGTGTGACTCTTTTTTAGTTTGTCCTTAGAAGGCTGTAAGTTTGGTTTAGTTAAGTTTGGAAATTCCGCGAGTATATCTTGGAATTTCGCTGTTGTTACTGGGGGAGTTTGAATCAAGTTAAGAGAGCTGATGTGACTTTCTTTGCCTTTTGTGTAATACGAAGTTTCTTTTAGTGTTAATCGCCGTTTCTTGGTGTCAACTAGAAATTCGTATCTCTCTAGAAAGTCCATCCCCAGTATTGCCAGATCTAAGTCAGCTACCGTGAAAACCCAAGGGAATTGCCTCCTGAACCCCAAATCTAGGGTTAAAGTTTTCTGCCCAAATGTCGCGATTTTAGTTTTATTTGCAGCTTGAAGTGTAATTGATGATGTTTCTCGACTAATCTCAGTTTTATTTTGAGGGATGATGCTAAGAGCAGCGCCAGTATCCACCAAGAAATTCAAGCCCGAGTTTCTGTCTCTAACATAAAACAAGCGACTGTTTAGGCGCACCTCCTCAGTCGTCGCGACCTGGGGAGGGGTTACTCGTTTCCCGCTGTCTTAGAATTATGCTTAGGCCAGGCGCATGGTTGCATGCACTTGGTTGAGTTGACACCAAACTTCCAGTGGTACCAACAAAACTGCCCAGATTGTCTGGACATTTGTGACTTGGATCGTGGTCATTGTGGTGACCTGCTCCTGTTTCTATGACCCATCTGCATTCTGGTGACAGCCTCAGTGAGACTCTTAACACTCGCAATGAGTCCTTCTATGACGGGGTCTTTTGCTGATTCTACTTTTTGTGTGTGATTTATTGTGCCTGATCCAGTTGGAGGACCTCTTTCCATTATTCTGTCGGCTATACGCGCTAAATGAGATAATGAGGTTTCAGGATTCTGTGCATCCAAACAGTGTTGGACGTAGCATGGGAGAGCTTGTATCCATCCTTGTTTTAGGACTGCTTCACCCACTGTGTTATCACCCACTAAGACTTGGAGGTGACGTAAAAACTGTGACGGCGACCGATCACCTAGTGTTTCACCTTGAAAAAGTCTTTGGATTCTTTGACTATCTGATAATGATAAACGGTTCATTATCTCTCTTCTAAAGATGGTGTATGGTTGTGGTGATGGTGGACTTAAAATCAAGTCACGGACTTCTTTGGCGACTGAAGGAGGAAGGATAGAACACAAGTCTCTATAGCGAATCCCTTCAGATTTGATATTGTGTCTCGTGAAATAATGCTCTAGTTGAGCAAACCACAACTCAGGATCACTACGATCAAATTCTGGAAGTCGGGATTTCGTAGTCATAACAGTGTCTATCTCCACTGGTGACAAATCCTCCAGATTATGGGTTTCTATTGTGTCTGACATGAGGTATGTGACAAATATAACAATAAACTTAGCACAAAAAGTGGTTACTATAACACGAATAACTTAAGATAATACGGAATAAACTAGTTATATACTCAAATTAGTTTACGGATAATCAGGTCTACTTTTACGATTAAGTAAAAAAAATGTTAATAACAGAAATGAGGTTAAATTTGTGTTCAAAAAGGGCTCACCAATTTCGTGCCTTAAAGTAACCCTCGTGCTATTGATAGAAGAAACCAGAGAAGTAGTGAATAGGTCTTTATTTCGATCTCAGCGCGGTAACAGTGGAGCGTGGGACTATCTGTTCAGACAAACAAAGGCTCTCAACATTCAATATAAGATAATAGGGAATATAACGCTTATACAAAACAAGGAAGTGAATGAATACTTGAACAATACTGTTTTGGCATATGCTTGGTTGTTTGGGGTCAACTCTTAACCAACCAACCTAAGCTGTTACAAGTTCACCAATGATGGCAATGAAGACAATAAAGATAAGTTTTATAGGGGACTGAAGTCGTCGTAAAGAAGTGTGCATGAACAGATTTGATTATCTGGTAGAATACCCAAACGCCAAAGTCGGAATAGACAATACCAGGTATGGAGATATCATGGGACGATGTGGACTGGGAGAAAGGGACGAAAATAGTGAAAGATTTGCTAATTTATGTGCATTCAACAAAATGGTTGCAGGTATCACCATGAATGCTCACACGAAGCTACATAAGTCTCACACCACCACACTACAGAGAAACAGATCGGTCAAATATACATAGATAAAAAATTCAGAAGATCAATGGAAGATGTGAGAACAAAGATAGTTGCTGACTTAGATTCATGTCACTACCTCGTTTTGCCTGAGATTAAACTAAGGCTAAAAAGGCATTGGATAACGAGACAGCCAGCATTAGCACAGCCTCCCTTTGATGTACTGACAAACTCAAGAAATTCAAAAAAGTTCTCAACAACCGCTTCCAAGCCTTACAAGTCCCACTCAAAGGAGAGGGGACTACTATGGAGGAAACATGGAATGCGATCAATGAGACGATGAATTCGAAATGTTAGGAGGTCCTAAGATGCAACAAGCATCGTCGACATCAGAGAGGTGCTCTCCTCGAGAGTCTCAACAACTAGAGTGCATTCCACAGTTTACTCCAGATATACGACACACTTCTGGGGCGAACAATGTAGTGGCAGATCCTTTGTCTCATATAACTCCCCTAAACAGTTTCCAAGGAATCGACCTTCTTAAACTGGTCCAGCTTAAAAAATATACTGATCTTCAGCACGAGTTATCTTAACAACCCCAAATAGAAACAAGTAAGGAAACCTTACCATGCGACACATCTGCAGGTAGGAATCGTCCAACTGTGCCGAACAATTATCAACCTAACATCTTCAGTACGTCGTGCAAGCTCTCTCGTCCAGGTGTTCATGAAACCATCAAGCTCATGACAGAACGATGTTGCTGACCTGGTATGAATAAAGATATAAGGGAGTGGGCACGCTCCTGTGTAGGCTGCCAGAAATCTAAGGTGATTAGACACAAAAAATGTCCTTTAGGCTCATTCAAAACTTCCGACGCGCGTTTCCACCATGTTCACCTTAACTTCTATAGACCATTTCATTCGATAACTAGAAGCAGTACCCATCAAGAACAGCTACACTGGAACATTTGCCCGCGCCTCCGTCGAACGATGGGTAGCGAACGTTAGCTGCCCTTCAACCATCACTAAAAACCGTAGACACCAATTCGAACCTGGACGTTTCCGTTGTCTAACCACACCATTAAGAACCACGAGATTCCGAACGACTGCCTACCGCCCACAAGCAAACGCGTTGATAGAACGCTTTCACTGACAGCTCAAAGCTTCACTCTCATCTGAAGACGTTTCACAGTTGATCGATGCTCTCCAACTCGTTTTACTCGGTATTCGCAGTTCAGTGAAAGCTGACATTGAATACACTGCAGCTCAACTCGTTTAGGGAACGACACTTCGACTTCCAGGCCAACTCGTGGATTATTTATCTTCTTCAATGACCATGAACCTAGATCCCTACACTAGCATGGTTACAAACAAAATGCATTCATTTAAACCTGTTTCCACTCCACTTCACTCAACTGATGCTTCTGTTCAAGCTACCCTACGATATAATAATAATAATAATAATTTATTCTCAAATAACAGTTTGTTACATGAGGGATGCCAGTTTACAAGCAAGATCAAATTGATACAAATGATACAATATCCATTGTAGTAAATTACACAGCTGGGTTGATAATTTATAAGATATGAATGTAGATGGTTTTAATCAGTATCACTTTTGGCGCGCTTCACGAAAGTTGAGTTGCGAATGTGCAACTGATAGTCAAGGATAGGTCCATTGAAGGTGGGAGCTTCTAAATGTCGCAACCTTATGTCCCTTTAGAATGTCTAAGGCTTTGAGGATGGTGCAGGATAAAATCTTTCGTTCCATATCACAACGGGGCTGAAAGAGGGAGCACGCGTCTGTGTACATCGCGACTCACCTTGACATCTTGGAACGGTAAACGAAAGACAGTTCAGAGTCCTCTAGAGTGAACCTAGGTACTATATGATCGATAAGAACGAAACTAACGACAGCATCAGCATCGATCGCCTCAAATCCGCGTATTTGGAAGGAAACTCTAATCATGTTGATTTTCCTTCGGTACAATTAGAAGACACGAGACTCACAATTACGGTACCTTGTAGAATTATGGTCTACTATGATAGTAGTACTGCTCTAATAATAGACCCAATCCTATAATTGTAGATTTGTCATGATATAACTGCCTAATCTATAAAATCTTACGTGGAAGTCACATCATCGTCTACATCAACTCACTGCATCGTAGCAATTACCAATACATGATTGAGGACAAACTTAGGCTAGAGATAGAACAATATATTTAATATGAATAAAATAAATAAGGTAACATCCCACAGGGACCACGTCTGTATGACCGAGCCATGCCATCCGATCAAACCCAGTCCATTTTATTCATTGTTCGCGCCTTCTCCATTGTTAGGTATTTCTCCGTGTTAAATATTGAATATCTATTTTCTGAGTAGTCTTGTGTTCAGCTTTGAAGATTGTATGGTTATGGTCCAATGCCACTACAAGCCTACTAATACAGAAGCGATTGGAAATCAACACATATGGACAGGTTATCGGCATAATCCTTACTTGATTTTATAATTTAAACCAAAACTAATACTAATATTAACATTTCTGCAATATTGATTGCCTTTACTATTTCTAAACACAAAATACTTACTACCTATAAGTTAAGTTATTAACCAACAGCTATTAACACGCATCTTGCGTTTTATTATTATTATCATTATTATTATTATTGTAATCCCATTTTTATAGCCCAAATAGCCTTCATGCAAATTTTCATTTTGAGCGTGTTAAGCATGAAATCAGATACTTTAAAATTATTACATGTATTTCCCGACCAGATGCTGCCGCCTTCTTTTTCATTTATCTTTCAGTTTATCAGTACCTGCAGGATTCTTATTATTTTGGTAACCACCGGCGCGTGACGATCCCATTCAATTTGCTATCGAACCAACATCACGTTGATTCTGGTGGGAGAGTAGTTTAGTGGCATT